GTCGGGGACACCACTTGTCGGGGACACCACTTGTCGGGGACACCACTCCCTGGCAACACAGAGGATCCACGTGGTCTCTGATCCACCCTACCCTTCCGCCCAGGCCGTGTCCTCCCCACGTAGAGCAGAACGACTGGAACTCAAGAAGTACGGAGAGCCGAAAGGGACATTTATTGTTTAACAACGCCCCCAAACGACGCCACCGGTTGGCTAACGATAGTGAACATAAACAAAAATTCCTTTAACTACGTCTAGCTCTGGGATAAGAACTTGCAGACGGAAACTTAGCAACCTAAGTCACAACTGCCGGAGCAAATAAAGTGTAGAATACAGACAAACCCAGTCGCTTGCTCCGCCCCCTTCCTGTACAGCTGCAACCAATCCACGCCCTGAACTTCGGGAGACACGTGGGAGAGGGCAGGGGCTAGAGAGAACGGGTAAGGCTCGTTCTCTCCTCTGGGATTGGCTGAACGAGGACAGGTGTCAAGACAGTGGAATCCTTGTTCTGCCGGCTTCCAACTGCTTTCATTTTCCAAAGCTCTATGTGGGATTAAGAGGTCCCACATCTCTCTTCCCCCGCACGGGAGGAACGAAGCACTAGACCCGGGCCGCAGACCCAGGAACGCTCAATGGAGCCCGAAAGTGAGCACATGAGCATTTTTAAAACCTGTTGGGGGGCTTTGGTGACCAACAAAAAAGAAATGTGAAAGAGCTTTGAAAAATGAAAAACAATACTCCTAAAGAAAGCGATGAATCTTCTAGTGTTTTCCTGTAAGTGCAGAGCCACCGCTTTAACTCTATCTTTAAAAAAGAGCAGGAATGTATTTTGCCTCTCTGGAAAGGGGTGGTGTGTTACAGATTCGGAATGCGGTATATTACAGGTTGTCCGACGTGGTCAATTATGTTGGTTTTTTTTTTTTTTTTTTTAATTAACTACTTTTACAGAGAAGGACTGATTTGGGGGATAGGGGAGGAAGGACTGCACTTTTTTTTTTTTAAAGAGCATTAATGTAACATTTGTATTTTTAGAAGAAGAGCGTTGGAGTAAACGAATTCAGGTATATAGCTAGTGAAAAAAAGAGGGGGTACTATGTTGTTGAAGCCCAGAGCATAAAAAGAGAAAACAGAAAATGGGGGGAGGGGAAGTAAGCTTAACTCAGGCTCTGTATTTTGTTTTTTTAAGAGTTTTGCTCAGGTATGGGGGGGAAGGTTTGCTTCACTGTGAAGAGTGGACGGATACCGAGGGTAAACTAGAAATTTGAGTCCTCAAGCAAAATTGTTAGACTAGAGCACTTTTTAAAATTCAACAAGCTTTGAATGCCAAACTCACATTTATACAGGTTTATGGGGTGCTGAGTACTTTACATATATTATCTTACCCTTTGCAATCTAGTTTTGGGCTCATCACCCAATCAGAGCTGTTCTCTCCAAAGTTGCTAATGTGAATTCTGATGTTCTCTCATTCTCCATTCTTCTTGACCTGTCAGATGCATTTGAGTGTGTTGACCCTCTTATATTCGTATATACTCTCTCCTCTTAGTTTTCACATCATTCATTGCTTCCTCCTGGTTTTCCTACCTGTTACTCATCTGACCTCTTCTCCATTTCCTTTGCTGGATTATCAGCGATATCCAAATTCTGAAAAGTGGGTATACCCTCCAACTGTGGTAATGTTTGTCCTTGGCCTTTTTCTCTTTTCTTTCGTGGTGACGTCATCTCTCGTGGGCTTAATTATTGGAGATCTCATCAATCCCTATGGATTTAATTAAAATTTCTATGCTAATAATTCTCAAATCTACCTATCTTGCCCAAATCTCTCTGATGTTCTCCAATCTTGCATATCCAACTGCCTTTCAGACATCTAAAACTGGATTCCAGGAGACACTTTAAACTCATAACAAAACAGAACTCATTTTCTTCCCCCTAAACCCTGCCCTCCTTTTTGGTTGTCCAGTCATGTCTAGCTCTATGTAACCCTATTTGGGTTTTCTTGGCAAAGATACTTGAGTGGTTTGTCATTTCCTTCTCCAGCTCATTTACAGATGAGGAAACTGAGGCAAACACAGGGTTAAGTGACTTGCCCAAGGTCACATAGCTAGTAAGTGTCAGAGGCTATATTTGAACTTGGAAAGACTCATCTTCCTGACTCCAGGCCCAGCACTCTTCTCTACCGTGCCACTTAGCTGCCCTCTCTCCTCTTACCTTCCCTATTACTATAGAGGGCAACACCGTCTTCCCAATGCCTCAGGCTCACAACTGTTCACCAGTAGTCACAACTCCAAAAGATTTAAGTCGAAACTTATTTTATTACAAGGGAAAGCAGGAACATGCATGCTGGGTCCCTTCTTGTACAGAGTTCGAAGGAGGCCAACAATGCCAGCAAGGCCTTGGGTATTTAAGGGTTATAGCAGAAAGGGGAGGTCTCATGGGAGGAGAGAAAGGCAATACTCCCTCAAAGGAGAGTGGCATGGGAGAGGAAAGGGAGCAGTAAGGAGGCTGTCCCCCATGCCTGGAACACTCTCCCTCCTCTGCTCCAACTCCTGACCTCCCTGACTTCCTTTAAGATCCAACTAAAATCCACCTATATATAGCTTGCTTTGCATAATTTTTTAATGTTGTCTCTCCCATTAAATTTTAAGTCTTTGAGGACAGGGACTTTCTTTTGCCTCTTTTGTAGCCCCAGTACTTAGCAGTATCTGATATATAGTAGGGGCTTAATAGATGTTGATTGATTGACTCTCAGATCTATAGATCAAGTCCCTAGTTTTTCTCCTGAAGTCTAGTTTGTAAATAACACCCACCTATTGAATATTTCCAAAGGAATGTCCTTTAAGTATCTTTATCATGTCCAAAACAAAATTCATTATCTTTGTTCTTGAACTGATTGGTCAACCAAACTTGGCTGTTATAGTTAGTGCCATTCTTCTAGTCATACAGGTTTATAATGTGGATGTTATCCTCAACTTCTCATTGTTTCATCCCACATATCGATCATTTGCCAAGTCTTAAGCATTTTTATCTCCATGATATCTTTTGTATCCATCCCTTTCTTTCTTCTTACACAGAACCACCTTAATTAAGGCTTTCCACCATGTGCCTGAACCTTTGGAATGATGTCTTAATTGGTCTCCCTGCCTCAGGCCTCTCCTTATGCCAATCCATCTTCCATGCAACTTCTGAGCTGATTTTTTTTTTTAAGTAAAGCTCTGAAGATGTTGCTCTCCTCCTTAATAAACTCCAAAAACTCTCTATTTGTTGCCTTTAGAATAAAATATAAAATTATCTGGCTTTTAATACTTTTCACAACCAATCTCCACCCTCTTTTTCCAGACTCCTTGTATGTTATTTCCCTTCTGCCATCTAAGGTCCGGCTAAACTGACCTTCTCTCTGTTGGTCACACATGGTACTCTAGTTCCTATCTCTGTGCCTTTGCTTTGGCCTTCCGCCCAAAAATCACTCCACCCTTTGTCTTATCGAATCTCTCACTTCTATCTGCTACCCACCTGTATTTAATTTGTGTTTATTCTGTATTATGTTCAGTATATACTTATATTTGTACATATTTTCTCCCCTAAGAGAATGTAAGCTCCTTGAAGGCAGAAGTTTCTTTTTCTTCTTTTGTCTTTATGTCCCCAGTGTCTAACGTAATACTTGGCATGTTGTAGAAGCATAATAAATGTCTGCTGATTGATCTTATTTACTCGGAGTCCTTACGCAAGGTGCTTGGATACATAAAAAGACTAAATGAGACGAGCTTCCACCTAATGGAGCCCACCAACTAGTGAACATCAATAAAATATTTAAATAAGATAGCTACACAAATAACTAAAAGGATGACTAATATATGAATTAAATGCCTAAGAGAAGTGCCAACTAAGTACTGTGAATTCTTTGGGGGTGCAGGGGGAAGTGAGAAAGCAGAGATGGCGTGTTGGGTATCCTTTCTAGAAGTGGGGAATAGCTTCAGCAAAGATGAGGGCTCCAGGAAGTTAGTGTATGGGGAGGTAGGAACAGACAGTAACCAAGTTTAGCTGGAGTACAGTGCCCATAAAGTTATGATAAGACTGGAGATAAAAAGCAGTGTCAGGCTGTGAAGGATTTTGAGTGCCAAGAGAGCTAACTATCTTGAAGACTCAGGATTGCTTATAAAATACAAGCCTCTTAACTTGAAGTTAAAAATGTGAACCCTGATAACAAATGACCAAAAAGCCACAGCAGCTCTGCAACTGCTGTTAACTCTTAAGAAAAAACAAAACAAAAAACAGAGCGCTCACATAGGTTATCAAAACCACATGTAGTTAACTCTAAAAACAAAATAAAACCAAAGAGCTAAAAGTGGTTGTAAGCAAAAAGCTTTCATTATTCTGTTGGAGGAAAGAAACTACATACATGAGCCGGGGCCTCCTCTAGTAGGAGATGGCTTTAGTGTGGGCAAATCTCAATACGTACACTAGTGGCTATTCAGTGAGCCATAACCCTGATAGTGAGGAATAGCAGCAACAGTGAGACACGTTTGATTCATAGCAGGACTTCCTGACCAGAACATGGGTATTACAGGTGCTTGTCTGAGCACAGAGACCACTTGGTGCCGATGTGAAACAATTCTGGGATTTTGCAGTGGCTGAGTTCATCTAGAGGGTGAGCACAAAGGACTTTTGTTACACCAAGCTCAGGGCACAACTTGATTGCTGGGCCTTAGCTCTGGAAAACAATGTGTCTCTTAATAGTAAAAAGAGAGGAGTGGCCTTGGCGTGGGGATTCTGACGTTTCCCCCTTTTGGCCAAAGGGAAGGGGTCTGAAAGAACTCCTCCCATTCTGGCCAATAAAGGAGAGGCAGGTATAAGCCAAGATGTCACAAGAGGCCAGTTGGGCCAGGATGAGATGTTGAGTTTAGGGACAGCTGTAGGCTTAGGTTGGTGAGCTTAGGGGTAAAGGTGGCAAATCCAACAATTTGTTAGCCCTTCCCCTTAGCAATGATGGAATGGCATTTTTATCCTAGGAGTTTTAGTTCTTGAGGGGACCTATTGAGGAGGTGTGTCCCAGGTAGGACCACCAAAAATGTAGAGAGAGAAAAGGCCAACACATACATAAATCAGGGCCTTGGTGGTTAGGCACATAACAAAGGGAACAGAAAAAAATTATGACAGTATACTCAGCCCTCATCTGGAATCTTGGGACAGCTGTATCATCTTTGTGTTGTCTGCTTCTAGGTCCATACTAGATAAACATTGAGGTCCCCAGAGGGTTCTGCCATCCAGTCAGGAGCATGAATTTTCTTTAGATGATCCAGGAGTCCACACTCGCAAGTTTGGCAGCTGTGAGAGGAGTCAGAAGGACCTGATAAGGTCCCTTAGAAATAATGATTGATCAGCATAGGACCAGTTTTCAGATAAGACATATGAGTTGGTTGATCTATACCTGTGAGATAATTCCTTGCATCAGTCTTTGGATCTGAGTTTCTGGTCAGCATAACGTAGGTCCTTGGTTAAGGGTCTCTGAACAGCATGTGGTTTCCCAGCCACAAAGGGCTAGGTTCAAACAATGCAATAAAGTTTTCTCCCGATTCCTACAATTGAACAAGATAAGTTGCACTAGACCTATAATTGAATAGGTATTTACATAGAGATGATAATGCCCTGGGAGCTGATGAAGTCAAATCATATGGATAGCATATAAAGAGAGGATAAAATAAAAGAGGGGGCAGGATTAAGCTTTCTGTTAACTCCAGAGTTAGGGAATGAGAGAAGATGGATAATGATCAAGCATGCAG